TACAGTACGATGCGAGTGTGAACCAAATTGGTCTGTTTATGAGTTGCGGGTCTAAGTCGGACGAACGCGACGACGTGCGTATCATGCTGCTGACATTTCTGACCTTCATTTGCAGACAAGGTCGTCACTGGCCACGGCATGCAATTATTTTCATTATGCCGCCGCAGTCGTTACACGAAATTAATGATCATCAGATGAAAGTTTTTCGCCATTGTCGCTAATTGTGTACAGTTCGAGAAGTTCGAAGGCAGACTAGTAGCGAAAGTGTCTAATGGTCGTTGTTCGATTATCAGCGGTCGCTTACGTATTTATATTATTGACTGAACGGGCCATCAATCACCGTTAGTGACGCTGCACTGGTCGTTTGTAGGTAGGAGAAGTCGTTCTTAACAGAATTCCAGTCCTCCACCGCGTTTTGTTTCGCTGACTCGTTTCAGCGTCGTTCGTTCCGTTGCTTGCCGTAGCATTTCCCTCGTATCCTTAAGATACCTGCGCTTGGTTGCTTCAAAAGCAACGTTCACAACGTGCTTCTTCGCTTTCATGTTTCGTTCGAAAATTCAGAACCAGGCCTTGGCTTAGCTTGGCTGAGTTACTGAGTGGCTACCTTGAGACGACGACGCAGGTTTACCTGTTGGTCGTCGCTGCCGCCGTCGTCGACTTGGCGTAGCACTGCGTTTGAAGTGCCATTCGTTCGTTTCACGTACCACGTACAGTGCAATGCTGCTAATCGATCTTCTGTGCATCCAAAACAGGTTGCAGTCAGTAAGTCTTACTCCGCGCTATGAAAAGGAATGGCGTCTGGTTTCCGAATAAGTACGGTATGCATAGTTCATACATCAGGTGCACGATCGGTCGTTGCCGGCAGTAAAACCAGTGTTCGCTAGAGCGGGTCGATTCGACACTTGACATGACGTATTCTCGATCATTCACATCAGAAAACGTTACTAGTTTTTCCATGGCTCAACTATCCCATAAAGGAAAGGGCGCGAACGAAAAGAGTTTTGCCCTCTCTACAAACTCTCCCTCTAAACTCGGCCCGGCAGCGTTCTTTCATTTGATAGTCCACTACATGAGAAGGCAAATATGATTTTACACCAAAGAATGACATGCAAAACAACTGTTGGTGCAGCACGAACATTTGAAATGGTTTATTTTTCTGTCGTCCATCCGTGCAATAAGAACATAGCTCCACAAGGGTACTAATCACATCCTGCCTGAAAATAGTTTCTTCTTTTCCGCCACTTGCTCAAACGACAATATTAAGCGGTAGATCTTATTCAGAAGGACAGTTTATTTAGTGGAAAACAAGATCGAGGTAAGATCACTCTGCGTTGAGTTCGAAAATGTCGTCTGTACATGAATATTCAAAAGCATATTTTTCATCTTCTATAGTATGCGTTTTCGTCACTTTCTCAGATTTGACACCGGGAAGAAGCCAAGGAGGTTGGCGGAATTTGATAAATCGGTCAAGATGCGCCATTTTCGCCAGTTCATTAACAACTGACTCACTGTGAAAATTTTAATGTATTTTGAGGTAACAGCGTTTTACATGGAGGTTGATGAATCTGCAGCAAATGCTTGCATATTTAACCTTTCCTTGATATAATTTCTGATTAGCAATGGTTAATCTACGCATGCAGCATCAAATATGCCGGTTTGTAGATTAATACTATACATAGTAGCGAACTTAAAAGCAGTTGGCCGCGTTTGGTACCAGGCTGTTTCTGTGGTCTGTTATATATCACGAATAGGTACAAATTTACCGTTCCTTCGCTTGCTAGTCTGTTTCTAATAATATGAGTAGGACTGAGAATAGTGATGAAGTTTTTTTTGCACATCTTACAGTATACGTTGCGAAGGTGATTGCCAGTGTAACAAGCTGAGATATTCAATGGCTGTACAACTTCAGATGCGCTGACGACGCTCCTTTTAGAGAAGGGAATAGTCAGTTCTTCCGTCAGTCGATTTCATGTAAGACTGCATAAGAACCCCACTTTGTTGCCGGCTTGCCGGCTCTCACCACCAGAAAATGCTTGTAGTTCTGGATGGATTTCAGTATTTTCTGCTCGACTCGATCAAGCCCCGATATATGTGCGGTCGTACCGCTTTAGATGGGAAACAGGGCTTGTTATAATGGCCGAGAGCATTCGTGGACAAGCAGTTCACGCTTGCGGCGCTTGTCTTTAGTGATAAAGCGTAGTCCTCGATTATCATTTGAAAGATAATAAAATGGTAAGTGAAAGATAAATGAAATGAGCGACGTCGACCGGTAATTCTCTTCAAAATTCTTTTGTTCGAGTGATTTATACTTTGACATCATTTTCTGAGATTAACAGGGCTTATGCAAAAAATTAACTCAAATTTATGATGTCTGACCGTTAGAAATGGTACTTCAGATTGATATTACGCAGCGTTCACTGCTGCGGCAAAGGTCATAATCCTTTCCTCAGGCATATTTACTTCAGCAAGGTGTTTTCACATTTCGTATTGTTCTCCAACTCGTATGTATGTGGCAGTGCGCAGTTCCCAAGACAGAAAAGTTTCGAGTACATTTCCATTCTCTTTTTGGAGCGGTTCATCGAACCAAACCGGTTTCTGAGTTCATCTAATAGTTTTCTCAGACCGATGATCATCAGCACCTGGTCGTTCGTCTCCCAGCGGCACCATCGCACTGTGAGGTACCATTGCACAGACAGCGTTGTTGGAATCTGCCTAAATGTGTTTCATGACGCTTCAGAACAGTAGATTTTTCGAAACTGTGCATGAACACTGCGACGGCTTTCGTTATTTGTGTTATTTAGTAATGTCTTCTAATATGTGAATCCATGCAAATATATGACGAATGTCTTTCTCTGTTCAAAGAAAAGACAACTTGACTACCAATTTTGACAGCGTTATTTGGGTAGGATATGCCAGTTACTGACCTTCGAAATCGAGGTTGATGCAGCTTTCTCTTTTTCTTGATATCATCAGTCAAGAACAGATCTTCTACCTGTTTCTGTCCTAGAGCCGTCGTTTTCCATTCTGCAAATAGACGTTGCAGCGTAACAGATTTTCACGTACTTTCATCGATGACTGATACAACTGGTGGTCTCACTCTTCTTTCCAGTTTGCTGTAGGAGATTCTTTCCCTTAGATAGTTCTACATCACATCGACACATCATTTCAGGGCCATCATCAAGTTTGGACGGCTGCGGTACTGGCTCTGGTGCAAACGCTCCACCGTATTTTGCTCTCTCGGATGGACTGTCGAGCGCAGAACACTTATAGAATAGCCTAAAATAGTTCATCAGTAAAGTACCAGAATGCGCATCTTGCTTCTTTTCTGTTGGTTTCAGATCCAATGGGGATTTGTCTTGTTACATTGGGAAATCTGCGTGCCGTTTTGAGCAAGCACTTCTTGATAATTTGATTTTGAATATGCTAAGAAAATTGGTAATATTTATTACTTAACGTGATGCTCTTGTCGGTATTCTATTTTAATGCGTGGAATCGGTCAGTAGTACACCAAGAATGGACGAGATAAAGCCATTTTCACGTACATTTATATTCCTGATATTGTTTAGTATTTTTACATTCACGATATGAAATAGTTCTTTACGTCAATAAAATTTTATAGAAGACGAATAGTAAAAGTCCAAAATAATTAAGTTACTCTTGATTCGAATGGCTTAAATTTCTAAGGTAATTATACTCATGGTGGCAATCGTTACAAACACCGCTTGGCTTTAACAACGCAGGCATGCTGAACATTGATATTCCCTTCATATCCAGTTATTTCAGAAAGTCGCTATACTGAAATCTGGACTTAGGTAGAATTAGGCACCATAAGTGCATTTAAAGGTTGCTTTGCCACATCTTCGTGGCTCGTTCTGTTTGACCTCATTTGTTTAATGCCCAGCTTGAAAAGTCGCATTACAGCTAAGGTGGCAGCCGATAGCAAAATATGTACCGAATCAAGTAAATGTTTACTTGAAAATTCACAGATACGCTGATGCTGTCGTTCCCCGCAATCTCATTACAAACTGGGGAAGCCCTTATTTCAGAGAGCTTAGGTTTGAAATGCACGAATCAGAAATCTTTAAAGCAATCAGCGACAGGAATATCTCATAAGTGTCATTCGTCCAATAGAAGAGTCGAATCGTTCGCTTCGGATCCTTTTGTTTGCCTAACTGATCCTTCATGGGTGAAAAGCGTCTCTAGTTCGAAGTATACCCCTTCGCGTAAACAATCATCAGCGCAGAAATAACGACTTGGACTTCCTTCTTAATGAACATTCGTAACGCACTTAGCTTTTAGCTTCCATTTTAATAACTGCGGAAATGTGAAATGACTCGAAATGCACGCAGCACTGCAGAGATCCATGGTACGATATCTGGCTATTTCGATGCTGTTTACACGTAAATATATTTTCATTCACTAATCGCGAGAATCACGTAGTTAACGATGGTGTCATTAGTGATGCGACACAGATGCGTACACAATTCGCTCATGTTACTCGTCATGTCATCGGTCATACCCGTCTGCACATGACAGTCTCGCTTAGCCCGCTGATTAGTAAATTGGCCGATAAATATCTTCAAAACTGAAAGCATTTTCTAACTTATGCTTCAAAGCTTGGATTTTAGACGATTAATTACTTTACCGTATATCACTTCACATCATTCAATAGAAACGTCGTTTTTTCTGCAAGATACACACCGCGATGATTCGTCGCAACGT